CATTAAGAAATTTATCTATATATATATATATATATATATCTCTTCTCTCTCTCTCTCTCTCTCTCTCTCTCTCTCTCTTTCTCTCTCTCTCTTTCTCTCTTTCTTTTTCTCTCTCTCCCTGTTCTCCTTTTTTACATGTAACAATATTGTAATACTAATTCTGATATAATTATCTATCTTTACGCACAAGAGTGTTGCTGTTAACAAGTGTGCTTACATTATATTACCAATGTTACCATCTCACTTCATGTCATTGTCCAACTGTCTCCATAACATCAACACATCTACCAACCAAAAACTGAGCGTCAATGTTTGTTTTTTGATTCGTAAAAATTAAATTATTATCAACCTCCTTTTTAATTACTGCCAAGTGCTATCTAATTTTTAATTATTAATTACAAGTTACTCCATTATTTTTTTCACTTATACTTTCTTTACTTATTTCTGACCCCCGCCAAATTACTAACTTACTACTCAACTGTTCACAGATTCTTTTATTTACATTTTACTAATTACTCACTAATTATTACTAGCCACAGAAATTGTAGTACTTGCAGCTTACTACTTAGTAGCTACTTCTAGCGACCAGGCGTCAAACGCAAAACATTCTTCCAAGAAATCCATCGACAGATTAATTGTGCGGTGATGCTTTTGCTGAGTTTTGCTGTCATGTTGAAGATTATGATAATGATGTTGTTGTTGATGATGATAATGATGATGATGATGACGTTGATATTAAAAAAATATTATGGCGATGATATAAATCGCTGACGAGCGTGATAATGTTAGAATATTTATATTGTTAATAATTTTAATGAGTTATTACTGCATCTTCTCAGATAACATTTTATATTGAAGAAAACTTCTATTTTGAATGTAGCTACTTTTGATTGACTTTTTGCTGAACTTAGCATTTGAATGAATGTATATCGTTTCAATCATTTTTAAGTTTATCTAAAAATCATCCTTGTAACATGTTAACAGCATTTAAATCAAGCCAAAATAGCCATAATAAGACAGTCCTTTTTACAAAATTGGTGATCACTGATCAGGTTAGTTGTCATTAAGTTTTGATAACACCAGATGGGGCTCCGACGACTATAATAAGTTCTTTTATTTAACATTCCAATTCCAACCTTATTATTATTATTAATTTCTTCATGATTATAACATGATTTTATTATATATATATATATATATATATATATATATATATATATATATGCATGATTGTAATGCAACTTTGGATTGTATTCGATTAAAGAGCCGATAACCAATACTAATAATTTTAAGTTCTTGCCGATACTAAGATATATAATTTTTGCATTACTTTTATTGTTAGAATCTACTCTTAGTTGCATAACATAGTCCGAAAAACATGCACCAGCGTATGTTAAAGTTTTCTGGCAATGTAGTTTCGCACATGATTAGTAACCAACGACTCAACACCTACCAAAGGATTATGGCGAATGTTGAAAATTCATCGAACGGCTTTTCAAAATCCACCAACCAGTTTACTGCGGGAATTATTGTGATTGGAGACGAAATACTCAAAGGTCAAACCATGGATACCAATTCTGCCTTTTTGACGAAAAAGTTGTTCCATCTCGGAGTGAAAGTTAAGAAAATATCTGTAGTGCCTGACGAACTTAACGCTATATCTGATGAGGTCTAATTTTATATTTATTCAATCAATATAATTAAATTTTTTAATTTAATTATTTCATTTCATTTATGTCTTACTTATGATAATTTATTTATATTTAAATTTAATTAAATAAGATTATTATGCTTAGCTGCTTAGCAGATGCAACTAAAAATTAAAATAAATAATTTATTAGTCAAACAAAATGCCTTTTTGGCATAGGTATATAATATATATATATATTTATTTTATATATTATATATCATACATTATATGACATGTCATATATTAAATGATTTTAATAATTATAAAATAATTATGTAACATATGATATAAATATGATTCACCACTTATTCATTTTTTCATATCAAGCACTATAATGCTAGTTTAGTCATGCACTAATGAATTTCATTTAAATTTAAAATAGATTCTATTTTTGTTAAAGTCAAAATGATTTGTCTATTTGCAAATTTGTAACCAATAAAAATGTGACAATTTAATTTATGATTTTTTTATTTACATTATATGAAATAACAGCTGAATAACTTTTAAAACTAAATTAAAATAAATTCATTTTTAGATAACTGCATTTTCAAGCAAATTCAATTTTGTTATAACGTCTGGTGGCATAGGACCAACACATGACGACCTCACGTTCGAGGGAATTGCAAAGGCTTTTGATGAAAAATTGTATCCCCACCCAGAAATAATCAATGTTTGTAAGAAATTCTTTGGCACAGATGATTTAAAGAACCCGAAATTGAAAATAGCTTATGTCCCTGAATCTGCCAAGTTGTTGTTTGGTTACGATAAAATTAGCCAAAAAGATCTACAGTTTCCTTTGGTTGTAATAAAAAATGTGTACGTTTTTCCTGGAGTACCTCACTTGATGGAGAAAAGTTTTCAAGCGCTGGAAGATCATTTTAGAAATCCTGATGGGAAAAGTTTCAACTCCACAATCTATTTAGATGAAAATGAGTATTCGATAACTCATATAATCAACGAAGCAAATCAGAAGTTTGGATCAAACGTTGCATTAGGGTCCTATCCAAAGTTTCATAATAATTACTATAAAGTCTGCTTAACATTGGAATCACCTAGTAAAGATGACTTAGATAATTGTATGACTTTCTTTCTTAAAAAATTGCAACACTGCCTAGTTACAGATTACGATAGAGATCCAATATTAAATGCTTCTGATAAAGTTTACAACATCTGTCAGAGAATTGTTAGTCACAAATTTGATGCCGAATTTTGTGAAAAACTATCAAATTCATTAAAAATATTAGAAAAATGTTTCAACAGTTATAAATTAGATGAGATATGTGTAGGCTTCAATGGTGGCAAAGACTGCACTGCTCTTCTGCATCTAGTTTATGCTGTTATAATAAAAACACGTGGTGATGTGAGTGAGCTAAATTGCTTGTACATAAGAAGAGGACAACCTTTTCCAGAAGTTGAACACTTCATCAAGAAAACAGTTAAGAAGTACAACATAAAACTTCACACTGTAACTGGGCGCATTAAAGATGCTCTAATCAGTTTCAAATCCGTAAAACCTAATTTCAAAGCAGTTATAATGGGCACTCGCCTTACAGACCCTCACTCCTCTCATCTTCAAGATTTCAGTCCAACAGATGAAGGCTGGCCTGAATACATGCGTGTCCACCCAATTCTTCACTGGACATATGGTGAGCTGTGGTCATTTATTAGGAACTTATCGCTTCCCTACTGCTCCCTCTATGATGTTGGATACTCATCACTTGGTAGCATGGAGAACACCCATCCCAACCCATCACTTCAAAGAACTGACAGCAAAGGAAATATTTCCTACAATAAGGCTTATACGTTAACAGATTTCACATTTGAGCGATCTGGAAGGAATTAATTTTAAAAATCAACATTTTAAAATCATAATTTGTTTGTATTTACCATTAACAATTAATTATATATAATAATTATTATTTGTAATTATATATATATTTTTATTTATTTATATTTAGCAAATAGTTCATTTTCAAATCTTTAATTGTTAGGAAAATTTTTTGGCACTAATGCAATTACAATTTTTCACTATTTTTCATTTACATTTGTTTAGCTATAATCTTGAATTCCATCTTATGTTCGATAAAACAATTTGAATTAGGTGTGTCTTTTGCATTGCGTCACGTAGCAATCACACAAAATAATTAGAAAACAAATTTGAAAAAATTATTTCAATAATTTAAAAACAAACAGCAGTTATCAGATTATTAATCAATGTTTCAAATACAAATACAAAATTTTAAATAAAATTAATTTTCACAATTGAGATTAAGGGTCCTTTGTATATACTGAAAATCGTGCAGTTAATGACATCAGAAACAAGTGGTAGGGTGTTGTCATTTTAAATGCTTGAAATGATGGCAGGTGAGGTGCTCATATGTACCGTTGCATGACAGCGTGCATGCATCTTTCATTCAGAACAATCAACAAAAAGACAATCAAAATTAAAAAAAGTTGTACTGGTGCAATTTTTAAGAACGTTATTACTGTACATAAAAACACAATTTTTCTAATGTTTTGTTCGTAAACAAGAAATGTCGAAAAAAATGAAAAAGTAGAAAAAGCCTGTTGAAAATTTATTTTTGGACAGCCATACATTCAACTTGCTAAGGAACTACTACAATTCACTGTGCCAAACAACCAAATTCTAATTAAACAAATCAATAATGATCTGAACAAAAATTTGATTGAAAATTTCAATGTAGTTCAACGAAATTTTCAAGCTTTGCAGGAACCTCACCCTTGTACTTGATTTTGTGATCTCTGATGACTTTGGACGCTAAGCACTGGAGTGTTGTGTGTTTCAGCAGTGGCACAATGTTGTGCATGTGCAATGATTTCAACATATCCGAAGCTGTTTGTGATCTAAAGTTGGTAGTGCAGATATGTGCCCCGGATTTGAGAAGCAACTCAATAACCTCCCGACTATCAGAGCAAGAAGCCAAGTGTAGTGCTGTGTTTCCTGAATAAAAGATTGTTGCACTCATTATTTATCATCTTTATACTATGGAAAAATTACTGAAGTTTGAAGTACAAAAACAATTATCATGAATTATTAACTTATTACTACTATTATGGCTTCAAGGACAGCAATAAAAACAGTAATATATAGATGAAAAACAACTTACCAAACTTGTCTCTGTCAGAGCAGCTGGCTCCCACTTCCAACAAAACTTTAACAACACACAAATCAGGAAAATTGCAAACAGGGAATCGACCGATGACAGATGTTTCCTTACTGCATGCCAGATGTAACAGTGTGTGGTTTTGTTCATTTCTACATTTCATCCTCACCAACCGGTAGACAGATTTCAAAAAGCTAAACCACCGCTCTTGATCTTTAATTGATGAAAACTTTCTGCATGTTAGTGACATGAGATGAAGGATGATAATCAAGTACCTGTTGAAACTTGTGGTGTCTCGTTCCATTTTGTGCACACTTTCTGATACATTTAACTGTTTCATACCTTTTTCAATTTCATTAATACAGCAATTAAAAACAAACAACAAATCATCCAGAATAGCGAGTGGATTCTTTATTTTTATAAGTTTGTCTGTTGATGTGTCCGTGGTCATGAACGAAAATAATTCTGCGAAAGATAAAAAACTACTTTGAGTGAGTGGGCTAAGGGGTTCTAAATGTTTCTGTTGCATTTCCAGTGCATATCTCCAAAGAGATATGCACCAGATAAAATCACCGGAATCAGCGTAAACAGCTCCTCTGTATCGAATGTAATAAGATGTGTCAGGATGAGTAGGACCCAAAATACGTTCCCTAATCAAAAGTGACTGCATTCTCATTTCATCAGGATCTAAAAGGATATTTTCTAAATCATCTAAAGATTCAACTTCTGTTGTGTTGTTGTATGCAGGCACAAGTGGGTTAGGTGGCTTAGGTTTGTGCAAAACATCTAGCACGTTGTTCCTATATCTTTCTGTGATTGCTATTTTCCAGAATTTGGCAGCACCTAGTAAGTCCCTTTTTTTGTCAACATATGTAGATCCTAAAAGTTCTAAGGCTTCAACCCTGACTTCCCTTGAGCATTCTGGGTGAATTGTGAGATATTCTACAATTTTTGTGTTGCCTGTAACAGCTGCTGCTAATAGTGGGGTCATTCCATAAGCATCTTTTTCCATTTTGGCGCCATGTTTGAACAGAAGTTTCATGATTTCAAGATAGCCTGATTCAGCACAATCATGAAGAGCTGTGTTTCCTAAATAAAAAGTATTTTATTATATATTAAATTATATTTTTTGATTGAACTGTGGTGCTTTATTGAAAATTGACATAAAGTAAAAGCAAATGCGTTATGATACAGATACAAAAGTGAACCATTTCAACAAAAAATCATAATTGTTAGTGTTAAGGAAAGACAACCTTTCAAACTTTTTCTGTTAACATCCACATTTCTCTCAAGAAGAAGTTGAACTATATCAGTATGCCCTTTGTAACAAGAAATCATCAAACAGGTATGGCCATGTCTGTTTGCCATTTCAACATCAGCCTTATTTTCTATTAGGAATTTCACAATTTCATAATGGCCATCAAAACAGGCAGCTCTTAGAGGCGTAGAATTTGTATATGTCGTTTTATTCACTTTGGCCCCAGCTTTTACCAAATACTTTACAATATCAAGATGTCCAGCTGCTGATGCACACCAGAGAGCTGGTGCCCCATCTATGAGTTCGCCATCAAATTGTACAGTACCAACTTGTTCAATGTCGGCCCCACACACCTCAACCAAGTACTCCACGATGGACAGATGCCCATTACGGCATGCCACGATTAACGGTGTTGCCCCATTAAAAACTCCGTTAACCAGCTTTTTGAGCTCCTTCTTCTGAGAAACGTGATTTTCTAATATCGAGCGAATAGTCTGTAAGTTGCCATTGCTAGCAGCATCATATATGGTTGGTTGCTGTTCCATCTTTTTTATTAATAAGCGTTAAATCATATTACAAAGCTTTTTAAAACGTTTTAAACAGTGTAACGAAATAAATCAGCTCACACAAAATTTCGTACAATCAATTAATTTTTTCACACTAATTTTTCACAGCAAGAACAGAGACTGGCTTTTTCAAAGATCCTAGTGCAACGTTTAGAGAGATCACTGACTCAATGTTTTGATAACCATGGCAAGTGATGAGCTCTTAATATTTACTTAACTGTTCTACCGGTTCCATCCTTATATACCATCATTGTCATATTTCTTTTTGGCCATAAAAAACAAGATACACAACTCACATAACTAGAATAAACTAATCGATCAATCTGATCAATCCGTCGGGCTATTTGACATGCTTGGATTGTTGGCTTACGAAATTGCATGGATTTTAATATATACCTACCTATACCCATGGATTTTAACGAGCAACCTATATGAAATATTTGCTTGACTTAATATGCTTAAAACATTGTAGTAATTCTATTTAATTTTATTTAATAGAATTATGTTTTATTAAATTATTTTGTTAATTTGAATATAAAAATTACTTTTGGTCCGGTGAAATCCGGTGGCTTACTAGGATTGAACTATAGCCACCCTTTTTTTACACTATTCGATCATGTTAAAAATTTGTTTGCATATGAAATGAACGGCCTAAATTAATCAAAATTGTAATTTGAACAACTATCTTCATTATATTCAATGAGTATTTTACATTCTGCTGGTGCTCATAAAAATTGGTTGCTGAAATCATACTTTGGCTTACTGCAGTGGTTTACAGGGTTTCATAGAGCTCTTATGATAGCGGTTTTTTGTTCATATGATATGCAAAATATAAATCAATATATTCAATATGTTGTCAATATAATTATAGAAATTGCTTTTGTCCGGTGAAAAAAGTGGCTTACTGAAGCCGTAGGTTGGCTTAATCGGATTTTATTTCAATATCAATCAATCAATCAACCAATTAATCAATCAAACAATATCAATCAACCAACCAACCATCCAACCAACCAATCAATCAACCAACCATTCATTCAATCAACCAATCAACCAACCAATTGACCAATCAATGAACCAAATTGAATGAACCAAAAAAACGAAAAAAAAACAAAATTAAATAAAAAAAAAATTGGCAAGGCTTGTTCAAACACGAACAATCCCTTAACCGTACAGATCTACAAACAATTTCGAGATTTTAGTAAAGAAAGACAAACACAATAGTTGCTTTTATTTGAATTCATTCAAAAATGAAAAGTGACGGTCTATTAAAATTTTAAAAACGTCAATTTTTAAAAAAAATCGTATTTTAAACAAACAAATATAACAAAATATCTACCGATAAAAATAATTATTATCCATTAATATTATTATTTATACACACACTCCTTAGTAGTTCTCGGAGAACGATTCACGTAGCAATAACATTTAATAAGAACAGTTCACGGCATATCACAATGACTAAATCAACATACCAAACTGAAATTATTTATACATGCATATATACAAAGTAAATCAAGAAATATCCAAAAATTATATAACCAAATTAAATAAAACTAGAAACCAGTCAACATTTAATAAATAAATAAATAAATAGACATTATTAAAAAGACTGTTCAAAAAGGTAAAATTTAAGGCGACGACGAGAATAAAATGTAGTTTGTTTTCTTGGTGTGGTGCTGTGAAGCGAAAACAAACAAACACATCACACAAAACTAATAAGAAGTCGCAAAAACATCAGTAAAAACTTATTTAATGTATTATAAGTCTTAACCACAATGCTAACCGTACTAAATTGACGTCATCGAACGAACGCTTTCGAAACGTTCTGATTGGCTGGTTGAATCTGCTATATGGCTTTTTATATAAACATATAATCTAATTAATTATTGTATACATGGATTCTAGTCACTTAATTTATATATATATAATATAATATAAATGCAACAGTAATCAGTGCTATATATGTACGCACGCAGTTCAAATTTTTCGGGGAGAATTCAAAATAGTTTGAGAAATCGACATCATGGATATATCTATGATCGACATTACCGAAAATAATTAAAAATTGAAAAATTGAGTTTCTTTGCATAACCATGCTTCAACCCATAAGAAAGTGTTGTATATTGGTAAATAGGCCTCCCCTTGACACAACTAAACACGATACAAATTATATATTTATCTATATATAAATAACAATGTATATATATATTTTTATGTTCTTTATTTTATAATGCATCCATGGATATAAAATACAGCTCTGTCATACACAGAACTGGTTAAATGTTATCGTTAATCTATACTGATGTTTAAACTTTCGTGCCGTAAAGACTGTAACATATCCATGCCACACGACCTCCACACACCACACGTATTTCGTATGCACCCATCATACGCGATTGGCGTGTGATAGTCTGGTGTGATAGTTTGGCGTGTGATAGTGTTTCGGATGTATTCAAAGCAGTTCATCGCGTCTAACAACGCCAGACAGGCACCTCTACCGATTTAGCTAACTCGTCGACCAGTTATAAACATTTTATAAATGTTTCAGATCAATTTTCAATTATAAAAAAACTGAAATATTTTATAAGTACGTACGCACCATACATATATACACAGCCACTATAAGCCAATGATATATAATGATGTATGTAAAGAAATGTTGACCAGAAGGTTCTACTGCCGAGCCCTAACCTGAGAAACTCGAGACGTGACGACCTAAACATCGGACAAAGCATCGTTTGAAATATCTGTTGCGTCCTGTCAGAAAAATAAGATTCAAACTATGTCATCACTCACCTTGAAAATACTATTTCCTACAACAAAGCCACAAGAGGCATTCGTGGAGGCAAACAATTCAAGTGAGTTGAATGACACCACATATATTTATTATTACTTAGTGAAAAAACTCTAAATCAAGGTTTTGGGATTTTAGTTCGTTTCAAATGTTATTTTATTTGGAATAATTTCACAAAAATATTAATTTAGATTTTCATCTATATTTTAAAATCATTTTTCATTCACGAATTCGATTGTCATTGCAAGTCATGCAAAAAATGCATACTCCGTACGAGCACGCACGCACACGCACTCACACACAACACATTTTTCATCATTTTAGTAAACAAAGAACGCAAAGCAAGAGACCAACACGCAGTAGAGAAACGGAACGAAACGAACACAACGTCCTTTCATGTGACATTAAAATAACACACGAAGAAGACAAAATTGAAAGCGAACATGAATTATTATTAGATCCTTGACCTTACGTAACAACATATATTCAAATATTATTCAATAAAAACATAATTTCCAACTGAAATTGACATAACTTCAAAGACATAAAATATACATGCTTCTTTTTTTTTTACATTCATGTATCACATAATGACGATTCATTAATAATAAATTGAAAATAAACGCCATTAAATTTAAATATTATCAACGGCATAAACGAATAAAAATGCAATAAAAAAAGATGGCCGTTTGATACATATATAAAATACATGTTGGCAGAATAAATAACGAATAGCTTTCTTAATATTGAAACACTTCGTCATGTTAGTAAGCAACCAAATATTATGAAAAGAATTATTATATTAGCCTGATAAGAGAACATTATTAGATTGTCAACAGACGTGCAAATGGTTCATAAATTCATTTATATATAAATAAATGAATATATGTGTGTATGTGTATATAATATAAATAAAATTAATAAATACAACTGAATAGTTTACAAAAAAAAAATAAATATTGTACATACATGTTATAAAAGCAATAAACAGCCAGGTAGTTAAATGTAAAAGCAATAAACAGCCAGGTAGTTAAATGCTAAATTATAGCCAAGTTGTTAAATGCTAAAAACTTTCATAAGTTAATTACGTTCATTAATCAGTTAACTAATGAAACGTAAGTTAAGATGCAGATAGAAACGATCCCTAATATAAAATGATTCACCCGGGAACCAGACGGTTCTCAAATCTCTCGAATGAAGTGGACTGGCAAGCAACGACGTCAGTGTGAAAAAATAAATTAAAACAAAAAGATCAACAAACAAATGAAGGTAGATTTTTTTAACAAAAAAAAAAATTCGCATCATTGGGGAATAATTTAATTTAGTTAGAGTAATTTAAAACGCATAGCAATCACAAACAAAATAAATTGAAAAGAAAGCAAGCCTCATAGTCGAAAATTTATATTGTTTCATTAAATTAAACCACAACAATGTCAAACTATTTATTACTGTCATTATCATAAATCATGGTATAAAAAAACAAAATCGTACATCAAAAGCAGGTTAATGCCAGTGAAACACAGTAAGGTTAGAAAATAATTGAATGAAATATCACAACACAAAGACTAGATCATATATATTTACAGAACACTGTGTGAAAGTGGTTCGTTATTTATTGGTTAAATAATAATGTGTCAATAACTTATGTATGGATGTGTAGATGGTGTTGATTTAAATTTATTCCATAAAATTTTAGCAAATTAGAGAAAAACTGAGAACAATATGTAATAACTCAATAACAAAATGTCAATTGACAAATTTTAACAAATGTAAAAACATCTAAACAGAATAATATAAAAATTTCAACAACATTTTGATGGTGCTTTTTGATTACAGTGAAAACAATTTTTAAAAAAATTAAAACATTGGAGAAAAAAACGTTGTGAATAACTTAAAACAAACATGTTAAGCGCAGAAGAGAGCACGTTTAATATTTGATCCTTAATTACTTATGCATTTATATCTCAGTTCTTTCCTCAGTGTCTAAATATCATGTATGTAAGCTGTAGCAGAAAATATTTAAGGGTCTGTTGGGGAGTGCTTGCATTAGAAATACAACTCCTACGAACGTGATCAGTTTGCTAATGCACAGACAATTTTGATGAGTTGATGATTTAACGTATTTATAACCATAATTTTTCAAATAACTGTGATGGTTATTATAGTAATTATTGTAGTTATAATTGTTTCTATAAAAACTTCCACTGAAATCATAACTTGACCTTGATTGGTAAGGATCAAAAGACATTCTGTCACGCCGACCAGCTGTTGATGAACCAGTTCCATATAGGACTAAGGTCCAGTTTTTTAATGTAGACACACTGTTACCATTGTAAACAGTTAGTTCCCAAGTTGAGCCTAATTTTTCACCCCAGAAATGAGTTGACATGAAAGCCCAATTGGTGAAACCCTCGTTTGATGTGTCTTTGACTCGCCTGTGCAACAAGGTAGTGTTAGTACTCATTCCTGATTTTAAGTCTATTTGAACCTGCCCTCTGTTGGAAGCTGATAAGGTGATGACTGCTTGGACGTGCTCTATGGATGTTATCTTGGGGTTGTTATTGATTTGACAGTTGTCTGTAGACAACTCTAGGCTGATGATGCCATTGACAGGAAGACCCATCTCGTTGCCTCTGTATATGATTTGGCATTTTTTCTGAGGAGGCACATTGGTCCAGTTTCTGCCCATTTCCACCATGGCATATGCATCTAAAAGACCGTATCCAAAATAATGGCTGACCTTTTTACCAGCACCATTAGTTACCCAATCATTACTCTCCAAGTTGGCTGGCCTTGAAGTTGCTACCACCAGATGTTGTATGTCTCGCCAAGTCAAATGATTGTTAGCTTGCAGAACCAAGGCACAAATACCTGCGGCCAAAGGAGCGCTGGCCGATGTTCCTGTGTGACTTTCAGTACATCCTTTTTTGAAGTCAGTAGTGATAATCTTTTTATCTAAATCCTCACCACTACTATAAGTCGTAGCTAAAGTCGAAGAGCAGGCTTCAGAGTACCAGGGAATTTTTCCTCGTTCTGTGGCACTACTGATACTCAAGGTATATATACTGTTTGTATAACCATCACAATTACAACTATCACCAAATTTTCCACCATTTCCAGAAGCCCAAACAAAAATGGAACCAGAATAGTTTCTACCAGTTGTCACACCTTCATAAAGGGCTCTATTAGCTAACATAGCAGGCCCATCTACAGTGATGTATTCATCATCAGGTCCCCATGAAGCACTGTAAATAGAAATATAATTAGGTTTGTAGCTCAATGACTGAGCCTCTACAGCATCTGTAATTTCACCATCTAACATTCTTATTCCACCAATGCTTGCTTCAAATGCAACACCAACACCACATATTTTGTTGTTTGCTGCTGCTGCCACTTCTCCAGCACAACGAGTTCCATGCTTATTTTCATTTGTTTGTTCATAACGAGGTTGCGGGTCATCGTCCTGATTATTAACATCATAGCTTGCTCTGGCATCATAATTTTGTTCAAGATCTGGATGATCTTTTTCAATGCCATCATCGAGAATTGTTACTACAATTCTTTTGCCAGTTATACCACTTTTCCACACAGGCACAACATTCATGTCTATTGCAGACTCCCTATTCAGGTACCAGATTTGAGGCCATTTTGGATCGTTGAAGTGCACATCCCTTTTAACTCGTTTTAGAATTGTTTGCTGCTCAACCCAATTCACTCTGGAATCACGAGCTAATTTAGATTCAAATATCTGTGAAGGCATGATTGATCTTCTTGACAATCTTCTATGTTTGAAAAGATAATAATTTGGCATAATTTCTGTTACAAATTCAAAGCCATTTTTTCGCGCTATGTATTTCGCGACACCCACACCACCTTCAATTTTAACGGCCCATTGATTAGTATATGTTTTAGTAGAGCAATGCAAGGTTGAAAAGCTTAGGATGAAACCAATCAAAGCAACAATTTTTCCAACATTTGCGATCATAATTCAATACATTATCTGGTTGGGAGAATTACAATTTTTTAAACGAAACTCTATAACACAATCATTAATGGATGAAAAAATTTGGTAATTTTAATTCAATTTTTTCTCGCAAACTCGGTTCGTCAATAAAACATTGAGTTAAAATAAAGAAATATCCAAATATAAGCACCGTTTGTTTATTACCACCATGAGAGTGGTTTAACTAAAAATTAATAGTTTAATACAAAAAAAATGTGCTAAAATTTTTTATTTAATTTAAAAATATGCATATAGCATATAATGCCATTGATATATTTATCTATCCATGTATAATACATTATAAAATAATGCATATTTTTAAATTGTTGAAAATTTAATTAAAATTTCAAATTCATTGTTTTAAGCTCTTACTTTTTACTTTTACTTTGTAAACAAAGCATTTTATATGTAAATGCTCTTTCAACAGAGATTGTTGCGTTAGGTATTTTTTTATTTTTTACGAACAAAAATAATTTGGCCATTGTGAATAAAAATATTGCCAGACTGATTTAGTGAGTTCATTGATCTAATTTGTTACGTTTTATTTATGCCTTTTGCTTTTTTAGTAGTAGCTTAGTTTAGTAACTTTTAAGTTTTAGTTTTTAGTTTTAGTAGTTTAGTAATAGTTAGTGATGTTATTACTATTACTCTATTTTTTATCTTTAGTTTAGTAGTTTTTAGTTAGTGTTAGTGGTGATCCTAAGTTAAGTCAAGTATTTAAATCTTCATTTATAAGTGATTTTAGTCATTTTTAGTGCATTAGTAGCCTAGCTGTTTTTATTTTTTAAGTTTTCTTCTATTTAAATAAAAAAACCAAGAGAATTGTTTAGCCTAGTTTAAGGTTAATATTAAAAGCTTTTAAATTTTAAATCAAAATAAAGGTAAAAAATTTGACTTCTCAGGAGATCATCATGGTGTGTGAATACAATGGTAATCTCACTGTGGCCGTTAGGTCGATAATTGTAAAGGCCTGGAAAGAGAGATGGACAGAAGAACAATGGAGTAGGGCCATGCAGTCCTACATGATCTATGTGGAATCTTCTAAAACCTTCAGTCTTACAGGCAAAAAATTAAAATACTAAATTATAAATAAATAAATAATTATTTGTTAATTTGATTTAACATTAACGTTTATAATTTATATTATAAATAAATTAATTTTAATTAAGTTTTTAAGTTGGAGATTTTTTCTGGGATGAAATTTTTATATGGACTTTTGAATACATAAAATGAGGGCAGCTAAATATTTGTTGAAACATCATTTGTTATTGGCCTTATGTTTTATAGCTTCCCATGTTTATGTGACATGAAGAAAAAAAATTAATTTTTTGATGCCGCCTCATCTGCCATTAAATTTGCATACAATGGGAGCAGGATAATTCAAAAACCATTCTATGAAACCAGCTGATTATTATGAATGAAGAACATAATTTAAATCTTTTTAAGCTAGTCTAACTCTATTTTCCTAATCATACCAAAAGCAGGCAAAAAGTTTTCTGGGTAGACCGCAAACGTGGTAATCACAAAACAAAATGCTGCTTATAGAAAAAGAATTGCATGCCTATTTGAATTGCGTGTAGGAAATATTGTCACACGTCTCTTTAATTTTAATTCAGTTAACTTTCTGTGTTTATATAATTATTCATTTTTATATTCTCTAATGAATAGGGTATTTCGGTTTCAACATAGGTAGCCAAACGGCAACCCCCGATCTCGGGGAAAATGTCGTCTAAACATGTGTTGTTATTGTTATATTCTCAACATTTGATGAACGTTTGAAATTTTTTTTAAATTTAATTTTCAGACGTTTTGTTGGAGCAGGTCATGATAAGCTCCTCACCAAATGTTCATATCTTACAATATTTGAAGCATGCACTCTTTAGCAAGGTAATGACTGATTGATTGTTTAAATGATTGGTTTGCTGGCCAGCTGGCTGGCCAGCTAACTGAGTTACTAACTGATTGGTTGGCTGATTGGTTGGCTGGTTGTTTGGTCAGTCAGTTGGTAATTGTTTCAGTTGGAAATATATTGAAACTCACAAACGTTGGTTGGTTCGTATTAAGGATAACTTTTTTACAATAAAGTGTATGGATTGTAGTTAGAAATAATACAGGGAGATGTATTATTCATTCAGATGTTTCTTACAATTATATCTTCATTTTATATTTATTTAAGTTGGATATCACAGCTTGCAACACAATACAATTTTCAGATGGCCACATTTGCTTCTGCGATGAAGAGTGTTGTGGGTTATGAGGATGTCAGTCAAACATTCTGCATCTCAACTCTCTTGAAATTCGTCGAGGAATTATTTCCTCATATTCTGTTAGTTCACAGAAAAATATTTAAATTTATTCATTCATTTCACATACAAGTTTATTTTTATATTTTAAAAAGTAACTTGATGATATTGTTTTTGAGGATCTCAAAATTTTTGCACTTAGTAGCAGCTCACATCCGGTTGACCTCCAGCAAATACCTGACTCCTGGGTTCAACTGCTCACCTGGCTCTACACCATCATATCGAGGACGCTGATTAAGTTATCAACCGATTCTAAGTATTCTCTCGAGATGGCTGCCAGGGTCCTGAAGATGTCGTCTGCACTCCTTGATAAGATTCACAGCAACGAAATCTCTAGGGCCTATGTGGCTCTATCACTCGCTCCTTCTGATAATTGTTAGTTTGGCGGGTTTATTGTTTTTTTTGGAATTATTTGTTTATGGACTTGATATGCGTTTTGTTTCTTAGATTGTCTTCCTCCTAAATATACTCAACATATTCAAGAGATGATGTACTGTTTTATACTTTCTAATAATTTTAAATATTATGGATTAGTAAAAAATTTCAAATGTCACCCATAAAAATAATAATAAACAGCGCCATCCAATCGTAGTCAGAAACTTGAGGCATCAACCAATGAAATTTCTCGATTACTCAGCACACCAACCTATCAGCAACTGAGCGAAGAATTGAAGACTGCCATTTCCAGCTGCCTGAAACATGACTTCAAGTTGTTGACTGCACATTTTATAGAAGTCATTTCAAATTAATCAGTTTGAAAAACATTAAATGCTAACATCTCTTTAGCTGGAAATCGTTCAAATTGTTGCGAAACATTCAAACCCAAACAGTCCCAACTATCCAGTCGGTCCACCGTACATCGTCGACTTCACCCGACAGAATCTAAACGTGTGTGTGAACGTGTTGATCACAATGGAGGCGTATTTGTATAGAGTTAATGATCTCCAGTTGCTGGCTGATAAGTTGATTGCTTTGGAAACTCTGCAGGTTGGTTGGTTTTCGTTGTTGGTTTGGGTTGGCTCTCCAGGTTGAGAGAGTTGGGTTCGTATGTTATTGTTGGAAAGTGTTGGTAAATTGTGTGTTGTACGTGTGTTTTACATGTGTTATAATTATTATGTCATGCATATATTAGACATGTTTATAGAGGCTTTACTAGTTATGCCAGCAGCATGTTAGGTTAAGAAAGACATATTTCTAAGATTATTACACGATCTTTTTTAAAAGCAAGTTAATAAAAATTATTTACACGTCGACTGTACTATATTTCAATTCTTCTTCTGGTTTAAAATGTTCTTTCTTAAATTAACAACAATTCTTTTTATTTTGTTCTTCAACTTTATTAACTTGAATGGTAATTGATTAAATACTTATCATTTGTATAAGTTTTTTCAATGCACTTGTTATAAATTTTAAAAAAATCTTTTTTTGAAAAGGGCCTACCTCGATCCGTTTTGTACTGCGAAATATTGAGGTCGAGTTTTTTGGGCCTATTGGACAATGACGTCATTCCTGAGGACATTAAATGGTCATCGTTTATTTTTCTGAAGGTCAGTCAGTACATTTTTGTGGTCACTTAATTTTATGGTTCTCATATAACAAAGGTGATAATCATTCTTGTTTATGTATCTTGATGTATCTTCCTTACAAATGTTGCATCTCATGACCATCATGCCAACGATAATTAAAAGGATGAAACATGAAATGATTATTAATGCCCCACAGATCCCGCAACTGTTCCAGAAGATGGTAGCAACCAGCAAGAAGGACAGTGAAGACGAACAGAGTGAACTGTACCAAGGCTTGAAACTGCTTCTCGACAGTCAGAGTCTATTCGTCAGCGTCGACTACAAATGCAAATGGTGATTATACTGGTGGTGGTGATGATGATGGTGGTAGTGATGATGATGATGGTGGTGGTGGTGGTGAGGTAATGGTAATGATGGTGAAGAAGAGGAGGGGGAAAACAATGGTGATGGTGATGTCGATGAAGATAGACTTTTCATCAAAACATGACTTAAGGTGCCCTGACTTCACTTCACTTCAAAACTCTCGACTTACACTACTTCGATTCTAAATTAATTTTTATCAATTTATCGTAACAATACGCATTTACAAAATCTTTCATGGACATTCGAACAGCTTGCAAGTAAGGAATTTAAGGACATAACTATTTAGACTGTAATTTATGGAACATCTACTGCTGCTCATACACTTAAGTAGGTTTTTGCTACTTCAGCCATGTGCTTGAATGTGCTTTCAATTTATTTCAAAAATTTTAAAAATATGGAAAACTTCAATCGCATTGCAGTTTTCAGTTTAAAATTCACATTTAAAAACGGTAAGTCGGGTCTTATGTCGTAAACAGGGCGCGAGCGAAAACCTAAAAATTTCGGCAGCGAATCTAAATATTCATGACATGGCATTACTTCACTTGACTTCACTTGACATATCTGAAGTCGACTTTTTGACGGAGACTCTTAGGTCTAGATGAAGATGAAGAAGAAGATGATGATGATGGTAGTGGTAAAAAATTGTTACAATGAAATTGATTATGACTGAAGATTGATGATTAAAATGTTATCATCAGCTTAGTTAATTTTATTGTCAATATATATTTTTTTATTGGTTCATGAATGGAATTATTTTAAATTAATTTGTTTCATATTCACTTAGCTCAAGTAGTTTGCAGAGCCTGCTGAATGAGTTAGTGAGGTATTCACTGCTGAGCGAAGCGTCGTCGAAAGACATCATTTTTAGAAGGTGTGGCATGTCTTTGTTTCAGGAGTATTTTCTGTGTGTTCTGAAACGATTTTTAAATTATATCCTATTTATTATTTTTACTCTTGTTTCTGTTTCATAAGAATTTTGAAAACCGATTTTTTTATTAACCAGACAGAAAGATTGGAATGCATCTTCATGCAACACCATCATCCAATCTCTAACAAACGAAGCGCTCTTCTTGATACAGAAGGCAGAACCAACTGCCACGACCATACTGAAGGTCGGTTGGTTGGCTAACAGTTTATCTAAGCATCTAAAAGCATCATGCTAATTTTTTTCTGCGTAGATCACCGATTAATATTTTAAAAATTTTGTTTAAGACTGAAACTCTTCATTCTTATTTGTAACAAATTTGTAATAAAACAGATTATTATTACATGCATAATTTACAATTGACGCGAACCAGTCTTTGGACATAACGAAGAACCAGGACCTGCTGCTGAATGTGATGACTCAGATGATGTCTGGCAAAAGTTTTGAACTTATTTCCTCGGCTGCTGGTGCCATTGGCAAACTTCAGAATTTCGTCATGAAGCTCATAATGTTAGCTTAGTTCTTTTTTTATTTGTAGTTTTTCGTTTTCAGTTAAACTGTTTAAACGTTGTTCAGATAATTTAATGTTGTTAATAAATGTAAGCTCATATTTAAAACCAAAAATATTTAGAAGTTGATTATACACAAAAGCGCGTTTATAGTGATAACTTTCTATTTTATTTTTATTAGAAAATCAATATAGGATGATAATTTTTATATGTTTGGTCCAAATTAAATATAGTTCCCTCCTTCTATCTCCACACATACAATCCATGCCATCTCATCCCCACAACCATGCATCGACGTACATTTACCGCTCCATTTCAGCGTAAACGAGTCATCGAAGACAGCAACAGGTGAGACAGGTAAGAACTCTCAAACAAGAGCTGCTCTCTTCGACATTTCATTCCTTATGCTCTGCCACATTGTCCAATTTTTCGGCATAGAGGTAGTTTTATGTTTGTGCTTGCTTGTTTAGTCGTTAATGTCACTACGACTACTTTCTAATTTTATGAAATACTTCTTTAGTAAATTTCTACGAGAAACAGCTTGCGTACAATAGCTACGCAGACGTGTACTAATAAGAATGTACAGAGATGTATGCATTTGCTGGCACAATCGTAAGCTTATTTACTCAACCTTTTACACGTGCGCACGCATTTAATCTTTAACACACTTGATCTTCACACACACCCTACTACATATCGTCAGATCATATCTTCATGTCCTGAAGGCAGCAATTCATTCTTCTTTCAATGGGCCACAAGATGTCTACCAGACAAACATGACCAGTTCAAGTTAAGCAGCCTGCAAATGAATTCTGATCCATTCAAAGTTGAGTTTGTATTGTCTCAACTGACTGGTCCAGAGTTTAAGACTAGGTAGGTTTTTTCATTTATGTCGCATTATATGGTCATGCTTTAACAACTCAGCCACAAAACGTTCATATCAATCATATCAATTAATCACCTTCATTTGTTCATGCATTTTCATAATGATGATACACACACGCATGTACAGATACACTCAAGCGCATGCACACAAACATTTAATGTACACACAAACACACACACACAGTCTTGTAAAGTGGAATGAGATGTGCTGCAACAGCCCACAAGCCATTCAGGAAAGCCTCGTTCTTTGGGAGTACAACATTATTGATGATGAGCTTATGAGGGTGAGGATGGAATGATGATGATGATGATGATGATGATAGGATGATTAGCATGGTGATGGTTAGTGTACATTAACTTAGGAATAGGATTGAAGCATTTGTAAAGATTATTTAAGATCTACAATTTTCAAATTTATAATCACATTCACACCATTTATATCCTCATTTTTGATTGTAGCAAATTCTGGACTCTGCAAAAGGCACAATGTGCTGTTTGATGGTGGTCATTGCCACCTGGCTCTGCTCTCTCTACAACGTCAGCGGCGAAGATAGGCAGCAGAGATGCTGCAAAATGTTGGCTCAATTGTTGCAGCCTCGAAACCCATCAGACTCCGTTGTGAATTTTTCCGAGAGGTCAGTTAACATCGGTCTCATTGGTCTGTTTTAATTATTTCAACTGTTTCAGATTATTTCACGTTATTTACACAGAGAATATTTTTCAGAATAATTATGTTACAATCCATCGCATTACAGAAATCAACTTGCCAAAGAGTTTGTTTACTACGTAGCTGATCTAACCCTGCCGCCGTCAGCGCTCAGCAACATCGCCAACATGTTGCAACAGAAACAACAACTCAACGGCAACACTACACTTCCCAATCACCAACCGCCATTTGGCAAAAGATTTTTGTTGCAGCAGACTCAACCGCAGCAATACTCGCACACCATATTTACACTGAAAGAAAAAATTCTAGCCTGCCATGAACTGCCTAAATTGTTTAGCCAAACTTTGAACTCTGCTTATCGCAAAAATTCGATTGGAGTTCGAGACCTGTTGCATTTGAAAGAAATTTATCGTGTAGCTGGTTCTCAATGGTTCATCACTCAAATGGTTAAGGTTGTATTAGTTGCAAATTTTTATTCAGATCATTTTTGTTTTAGAATTTTATCTCTGTAGTTAGCTCTAAATATTTTATTAGAAATATTTCGTTAATCAACTTTTTTCGATTGTAGGACATAACAAAACTGGATAAGCCTGAAGATGTGGAAAGGCTTGTATGTCTCTACCATTCCCTCTGCCACTTAGATATGAAATCCCTGACAGTCAACTTAATTGACAAGGTCATCCCTAATATAATGACGTCATCATGTCATTTGAAGTCCTTGATGGATCCTTGGGGCACGGGTATCGCAAAGTTGTGCACACTCAATGTGGCCACTCTTTACAAGATGGCCACACGTAAAGGTGCAGCAGTTTTTAATGTTCGATTCAACGCTACTTGTAATGACTTTTGTTGTTAAATTTGTGGTTGTTTTTATTTTCGTACTCCTTGCATATCGCCTGGCATCTCTTGATTAATGAATTTTTCGTTTTCTTGAAATTTTGTTTCTTATCTTACTTACTTATTTTTAGTTGGTGTGACGGACGGAGATAGCAGTGGCAGCAATGATAAGAAAAGACCCTGGAATGACAGCACGGTTGGTTGCCCTCTTCTGATTAATGTCGCGTTTCTTCTTATCAACTGTATTTGCTACATATTCTCAACCTATTTTGTTTGCCACTAATTATTGCTATACGCTAACAAATGACAGTCAGATGACAACATGGAAACTCCCAGCAAGATAAAAAAAGAAGCAGCTTCTCAGGATGTTAACAATAAAAACTACAGTAGCAATGCTGGCGCCGGTTTCAATGCATTGAGTTTGACAGATGATTTCCTCTTTTCGGGCTAGTCATCACTTTTTTTATTTATAAAAAGTATCGCAACATGTTAATGTATATTTATTCAATCGTTCATTCATTTATTAATTCATTTATTAATTCATTTATTCATTCATTCATCTATCGTTCGCCACTATGACCCAACAGACCAAAGAGAAATAACTCCAATGAACGATTCACCGCCGTCATCGTCTACTTCCCCCTCCTCATCGTTCCTGGATGACCTGTCCGATTCATTAGGTCAGTTAGGGAGATGTATTTTAAGCCTACATACCTTTGTATGTGCTACGTCGCATTATCATTCTTCGTTGTTGCAAATATAAATTAAAGGGCTTTTAACGAGATGTAACCTCATCTCGAGTGCCAACTAAAGAGAGCTAGAAACTTACCGTCCTGAATATTAATATAATACAAAACAATACAACACGCTGCCAATCCTCTTTCGGCTGTCAACACATTAGAACTTTATAAATGCTTCTTCAACAAGTGTTAAATGCATTCAATCAAAAAGATAGGTTAGGTCGTAAAACTGAATACAACTAGTAACACTACCTTATTCAAAGACATACATCTCGCACAGTTTTACAGTAAAGTTGATGACTTGTTTCACTTGAAACTTGAGCTAATGCGTTTTAGAAGGATAAGATTATCCGAATTCATTGGCAGCTCTTACTTATTTGCATATACCCTTTTAAAAATCTCGTGGCAACATCCTCCAAATCAGGCCTGCCTTAATATTTTTCTACTCGAAGAACAAATTTAAATTTGTCAAATTTTCATCTCGTTTCTTCACCTAATATTTTCTTTTCTATTCACTCAAAAGTATCTCAGTCTGGTCTTTTTTGTCTACATCAAGTTTTTCTTGCACGCATATCAAGCCATGTTAAATGCAAAACATCAGCAATAACACGATCATCACCACCAACAACAGCTTGCATGTTCCTGATGTTCCAACCATGCGTGACGGGCACCTTGATATGTCCACGAACCGGTTTCGCGCTGGCATTCATTAAAGAATCCTTGAAACTTGACAGGGATTGTGCGCAGTTCATCCTACATAACCTGCCTTCGTCCATGGTTAGCTGACTGAAGTGGTAAATGGCGGATAGATGGTTGAAAAATAATGATACCGTTGATGGTGATAACGATTATTAAATTAATCCTGATGATGACGCTGACGATGACGTAACAGGTTCCGCAGCTGATGAGGTACTTAAATTCAGACATCACACCTCACCACATCTTCACAATGGTCAAACGGGATTCACCTAGTTGGAAGTACACAATCTCCAGGGCTCTCCATAATTACTCACATTACAAACAACAAGTGGACATTTAATTTTTTTGATCATTTATTTATCTATTTTTCCCATAATCTTCATCATTACAAAGACCCTTGCATAGTTCATAACAATATAATAATAACAATAATAATCCTTTCGACATTATTACAATTCTTAAAACTGCATATAAATGTACAATTAAATAAATTATGATTACATAAATAACAACAGCAACTGCAATTGTAAGGAAAAAAAGAAGGTAGTTGATGACAGAGCAAAAGAGAATGCAACTGACTAAACAGAAATAAAGATCACAACATTGCATTGTACCATTTTGCTTCTGTTTATACAATTCATCATGTTCATGTGTAGATAATAATAAATGTAACAATTTCTTAAGAATCTCCTTCCAAGAACACATTTACAAATAATAATTCATGCAAATACTTCTTTCATACATACATACATTCATTCATTCACTCATTCATTCATACATTCATTCATTCATTCATTCATATCTTTATGAGTCTTTAAATAAATTTCAAAATTTTTAAAATTCAAGTACACTTAAAATTGATGAAACGTGATGTGAGAACGATGATGATGACAATTGTAGTAAAGATGAAAATGTTGATAGTTTTTTTTCCTGAAAAATACAATGATGATAATGATGTGGTGGCAATGATGATGATGATGTGGTGGCAATGACGATGATGATGATGTACTGAATGATGATAATGAGATGACATGAAATTGAGATTTACAATTGATAAGTGGTGGTGTTGTTGCCAATTTGATTGTTAGCCAAGCCGTAGTCATGGTATTGTATGATGGTGGTGAAGATAATTATGACGACGGTGGTGCCGATAACCAGTAGCATATGTTGGTGAAGAAATTATGGGAATGTAAAATATCTGTTTGACGTGCTTGCTATAATTAATTGAATAATTAACAAACATGCAATTATGAAAAAAATTTGATAAATGAAATAAAATTAATTAAGCTATAAATGTCCTTGACAATCAGAAGACAACTATATATATATATATATATATATATATATATATATATATATATATAGTTATATATATATATATTAGGTTGGTGCAAATATAATGTCGGTTTTATGTTAATAAATTTTTCATCACTAAATTTTTAAATACAATTTATTGAATATATTGATCATTATATATCATTTTGAAAATTATTTATTTTTCTATCTAGCCTTCTCACAGTTTGTCGCCTCTAGAACCTCTGATTTTTATGCTACAGGCATCAATGATTTAATTTCTCGTTGGTAAATGTGCATAGATTGTGATGGTTCTTATTTTGATTAAATATCTCAAATGAAAGCAAATTTATTGCATTTTAAAATGGATAGTAGAAAACCGACATTATTTTTGCACCAACCTGATATATAATATATATATATATATATATATATATATATATATATATATATATATATATAATATCTCACTACCAGAAAATAACCACTAGTAAATAATTAATATTAAAATAAATAATGACTAAATAAAGTTTGAAAAGTAACTTATGACAAAAACGCAACTAAACCAAAAATATGTACTATGAAGAAAAAAAGTGTGCTGATCAGCGAGAACAGTTTGTGACATTGAGAGCTTGCTTGTAGTCATTTATGGTGTAGGAGGAGCTTCCAGGAACAATGGCAAACAAGACCAAAATTATGAAGCCAGCCAACATGGAAAATATTTTCCCATAAGCCATCTGATGTGTGATTTGTCCTTCTAAGATCTCGCAAAATGTCACGTAGATGAAGCACCCTGATGTAACTCCTTGAATGAAGCCACTGATGAGATCCAGTGTTGGACCCGATCCTTGGCTTTCGTAACAAACTGTAGCAATGGCTAATCCCACTGGATTCATTAATGAATATGCAACGGCGGATATTATCACTGGCAGTTTACGATTTTTGTAAATTTTTACAAGTTGAAGACCCAGGCAGAAGGCAATTATTGTCTCGTGGACCATGTTGCCTATAAATATTGCCCAGACTTCCATGGTCGTTGTTTTTAGTCCTGTTGTCAATCCTTCAAAGACCGAGTCTAAAGACAGTGCCAACATCATCAATACACTTCTGATGGCAGAATCTTGGTGGGCAACATCGGTTATTGATGATCTTCTTGCCAGTGGAAATGGGTTGTTTGGGTCAAAAATTGTTATTATGTTATCTAATTCACTGTCATCAACTATTACTGAGTCTGATGTAAGTTTCTGGCCATTGTTTATACAAATTGATGTCGATGACTCTTCACTTCTGCTTGTTATTTCTGATTGCTTCGACGGACTGGGCTTTATTGAGGTTGCCATTTCATTTTTCTTTCTTTTCTTCATGTGACTGAAACTGACTACTACCCTGTTTAATATAAGCATAAGGAAAAACCCGACGCCAATCAGGACATCTGGAAGAGGATAGGATATATTATTTGGTATCATCAGGTTTTCTAATATCAAATCTCTGACAGCTGGCGCCATGAAGATCAGATAGACGGCAAGAAACACTCCCCCGGCAAAACAGGTTAAGAGATCCAAATAATACTGGCCTTTATCACCACGTTTTTTGAAGAAGACATTCAATTTTATTGGAAGAAGAAAACAAATTAAGATGGAGAACAACATGACAACGCCCGCTACTATTTTCGCGTGCAGCCTTTCCATTTTGTTGGATTGTTGGCCTTTTTAAAAATTATTATTTCAACATAACATAAGTATTAAATTAAAAGATTTTTTAAACTTGAAATCAAATTCGAAACAAACGATTTATTAGTTAGTATTATCATTTCCGTCGTCGTCGACAACTGCCTGCTAAATTGAAAACATAATTTAACATTTACACACACCTGTTTATATTTACAATCTTCTCGAAAATAGTCCAACTAAACCACAAAATATTAATTTAATTATGTATTTAATTAGCCAATTAATTATAATTTATTGAATTGTTTAAAATTTTACTCTAGTTTAATTTTTACCGCAATCTGAAATAATCTAACTTCTTATCATAACCGAAAAAAATATAGTTATTTTTATTTATACATTTATACACACACACACACACACACATATATATATATATATATATATATATATATATATATATATATATAATATATAGTCATAAAATTTTTGTGGTGACATGTTTTATCGGCGTTTTCAGCATGGTTTTCAGATTTCACAAATACGTCTCTATGATATGCACTGCACATGCTAACGCACACACACAAACACGCATATATTTATATGTATATATATATATAATTAATTTTATATAAGAAAAATAGCTTGCCTATTTTGTGATACGGGAAACGTTGTAAGAACGTATTTGTAACGGTATATCTTACGTTACAGGTGGACAGCTACAATATGTAGAGCATGCCCAAGCAATATCTAAAGGTCTGTGATGAAGACATAGGGTGCTTTTTGACTAATATGACATATGCATCGTAAATTTGTTTTTGAATATAAACTAAAATCGCTATCAGCTGCTTAAAACTCTTTGTGTTAATGTATGAAAAGCAAACACTGCAATCCGCTTGAATGAAATGTAAGAAAGATGAGAAATGAAGCAACGCAAGTACAAAAAATTGAACGACATTTGAATTTGTCTTGTAAGAGTAATTTTGTACAAATAATGTGTGAAATAAGCTACACATCAAAAACTTTCCAGAAAAAATATATTGATTTGCATGAAGCTACTAGCGCGCTAAGTCGAGTTAGAGAAATTATAAAAGCCATGAGAGACACGTGAGCTGATTAAAAACCAGAATAAAGAAGTGAAATGTTTAGACAACAACACATTTTCAAGATTTTTGCTCTTATGATAAAAAAAAACTGCTATGCAAATTGCAAGGTTCATGTGATTTAGACAGGAAACACGCTCAAATTAATAAGCTTTTCATGGAACTGTGCAATTCAAAGATTGTTTTGCAGTTCTGAAATCGAAGAACACCGTCAATCGACGGCAAGTAATTGTTCTATAACTTTGCGACATCAAAAACAGTATTATGGGATTATTTTCGTCCGAATTTCAAATTCAATTTCTGCACGGAATTTTTTTCAATGTCTTTAAACAGCAATTTGTTAAATAAAACATTAGTAAAATTACTACTTAAAAGAGAATGAATTTTCAGGAATCAGCATCAAGCTAGTTCGTTGATCGTGTTGAGGTTAAAGGTCATTCGCTCTTAATTCATTTGGTTTGAGTACGAACGACACGTACAGCGAACGTGAATAGGGATGAAAACTGTTACACACATTATATAAGATGGAGGGCAAGCTGGTCACTGCAAAGCAAAACCAGACGCCTTTAACCATTGCGCCATTACCACGCCTATGTATATCGAAACATGTCATCCGCAATCGATATTTTTTTACTTATTATGTTATCTTCTGAATCAGAGATCAGTCGTTTATTTGAATGAAGTTTTAACATAATATATGTAGATGACAGTGAGGTCTTCATTTTTTCCCTGATGTATTAATTCATACAATACATGTATTCGGGGTACCTCAGGGTTCTATCCTTGGCCCTCTTCTATTTATACTCTATACTTCTGAACTACCTCGTATTATTAATAACTTTCCTTTCTTTAGTCAACTATATGCTGATGATTCTTACATTTATACTTCTTTTCCTCCATCTAATCTCAATAGTGTTCTTCATAATTTATCTCTATGTCTTTCTTCAATTATCGCTTGGTCTGACTCTATGTGTCTTAAACTTAATCCTTCTAAGTTTGAATTAATTTGTTTTAATAAATCTAAACACTCTATTACTATTCCTCCTATTACCTTACCTGATTCTAAAACTCTTGATGTCTCTCATAAGTTTCGTAGTCTAGGTTTTATCTTTGATTCTACTATGTCTCTCTCTTCTCAGATTAATAGTGTTGCTAGAAGCTCTTACTTTCATCTACGTAGAATAAAAAAACTTTTGCCTTTTCTTGATGATCCTACTCTTCTCCTTCTTGTTACTTCGTTAGTCTTATCTAGGATTGATTATTGTAACTTACTCTACTATGGTCTTCCTGACTCTATACTTTATCCTTTAACTAAAGCTTTTAACTCTGCTGCTCGTCTAGTTGCTCGTGCCCCTTTCTTTTCTCATATATCTCCATATCTTGTTCTCTTGCACTGGCTACCTATAAAATATAGAATAATTTTTAAAATTTGCACGTTCATGTATAAGTCTCAATCTAAATTAATTCCTAAGTATTTATCAGATATATTAATTGAACCTAAACGCCCCGGTTTACGATCGTCTTCTTTTTCTCGCTTTTTCTTAACTCGTGTTAAACACTCTTTTGCCAAATCTGCTTTTGCTTTTTCTGGTCCTTTTCTCTGGAACTCTCTACCTACTTCTCTGACTACTTCTCCATCACTTGCGAAGTTCAGAGTGGATCTCAAGACCCATCTGTTTTCAAAATTCATTGAGGAGCGCTGTTGAACATCGCGGAAATAACGCTTTATAAGCTAATTGATTGATTGATTGATTGATTGATTGATTGATTGATTGATTGATTGATTGATTGGTTGATTGATTGATTGGTTGATTGATTGATTGATTGGTTGGTTGGTTGGACATATGATGCGTTTGTCAGCTGTGGAAAAATCTCGTTGATGATGAAGACTTATTGTTGTATCAATAGTTTGAATTGAATAGATGAAATAAAATTTATTTGCATGTTTTCATCAATTGAAATAAAATTCTAGAGTTTCTCGTACGTGTTTTACTTTTGTCACGTCATCTTTGTAACAAATTTTATCATTTAAAAATATTAAAATTCACTATACTAATTTCGAATTCATGTCTAAAGTTGTGCATTTTTTACTGATCGATCGCTTGTAAGAAAACAGCAATCTACAAAAATCTGTTTACGAAAATTTTCAGAGGTTCAACAGCAGCAGATATAAGAGATATGTTTTTGTAAAATTTATAAGATCAACAATATAACTACAGCATTCTGTAAGTTGACTGAAGGAAAACAAACCCAAATGTTTCACGCTGATCCAATCTTCAATCTTAAACATTCAACAGCATCTTTTAAAAATGTTTATATAACACAGCGTTATTTTTAACTATGTTTTAGTGATACCGCTCAATAGTTCTTGATCAATTATTATCAATTATTATCGACTACACTGTACGTTTAAAAAAGCGTGAAGATTTATTATATAAAAACATTTGCTTCATTTTCATTTATCATGCAACCAAATTTTATTGAGAAAATGAAAATTGAAAGCTTTCTGAACTCGTAAGTTGTCACAAATGAAGATCCAGGTACATTAAAGACGTAGAGTAAATGATATAAAATAACGATATGCCGCAGGCGTTCCAATGGTTTTAAAAAAATTTAAGAACTTTTAAAAACAAAATCTTCAATAACAAAATTTAATGCAGTACAATTTAAAACTGACTTAATGTCTTTTTAAATCCTTTTTCCTATGCAAAAAACATTTTTCGCCTTTGTTTTTAACTCCATCTTGAATTTGTGTCTCGGGTACAACAGAAACAGGCAGGTAGGAATGTGTTTTAGAACAATTCAACGGAACCTTAGAGAGGAAGGAAATAGATGATGTACAATTCTAAACCACTTTAAATAGTGATGTTGAAAAAATAAATTTAAATTATTAACTTTTTTTCTAGCTAAAGTACCATCTGACATGAGTTTCCAACCGGTTTTTTTGAGGTTTCGAACCAGGGTCATCTCTGATTCCGTGTTCGGAGTGAACCCACCCGACGCAGGCTGGCCAGGACTAGGACCCATTAACTCGCTGGAACTTTTGTCATATTGTTACTATTGTTATTATTAATCTAATGCACATTAATATTTATATTGTTAAAGCGTTCGACCCTAGGTTACAGAAATCCCCGTCTATCATACAAGTGTCATATGTGATGAGGCTCTGCACGCATCTTTAGCGCACAAGCAATTTCAATATAGAAATAAGAGTACTAAACAAATTTAATAGCAATACCCCACTAAAGCTATGAATCCTGAAAGTCTATTCTACAGACCGTTGAGAAAAGGAATTCAGTGTCATATACATACGGAAAGCTTTTCAATAAAATTATGCGAATTAATTCTACATTTTTCATTTTTAATTGGTGAGCATAACTTTACTGACTCAAAAATATTTCCAAAATTCATTTAATAGACATTTTTTACACGAAGAAATTAAAATCCCACCTACCGCCCTTGTATGCCTAGATTGGCGAACAGCACACGAACGTTATGGGCCGGGTCTTTGGCGGATATCTTGGCTAGAGGAAGATTTTTGTAGGGACACACCTGTATCATGTGCAAACGTACCAACGTGTTTTTTTACACATAATTCTTGCATACCAATTCTTCCATTTTATGTTGATTAAATGTCATAGTTGCTACGATTAACTTTGATTAAATGATTTGTTTAAACATTAGATTATTTAAAATTTTATAAATTACTAAGCAAAGATAGCATTATAAGTACAACGTAAATAATAAGTAAAAAAGAAAAATTAATAAAAACACATTCATGTACATACGGCTCCGTCAGTTAGCTCCTCTGCAACACTCCAAGGAACGATGGCGCGATGTTTCGTGTAATGTTCGCTATAAAACTGACCGAAGATTTCACTTGAAAGAGGAGTTAATGGCCGGAGTAGCTGGTTTCGTTTTTCTTGGTCATTTTTGTAGGGAGATGCCACACTCCTGGAATCTCTAAGACTGACTTTATTCAACTGAGACGAGATATATTCTTCAATGAGATCTTTTATGTTATTTGAATAAACTCCGACTTTGGATGGATCCGCTCCAGGTAGTCTAAATGGATTGGCAAATTTTGTCTTTCTAAATCTGAGATAATTAATTATCCAGACCGTGGTATGAAGAATTTTAATCCACCTCGATGACTGCCTCACGTTCATTTCGCTCTCCAAGACGTACAGAGTAGTATAAGATCCAACTCTCTTCAAGTCCGATGGTATATCCACTGATTTTGTCGTTACCTTTTTCTCTACAAAATCTTCCAAAGAAAACGTCTCAATAAATTTACTAGCAGGAGTTTGATCCTCTTTGAATCTAGAACTATCTTGGTAATAAAGGCTGTTAATCATCACAAACGCACTGTGTTTTGAGTCCGAGATGGACCTAGTCATTTTATCTGATTTCTTAATGTCGTTTAACTCTGACTCGGCAAGTTCAATGTAATTTATCATGCTATTCAAGTTGGTCATACTTTCAGTTAGATTACTACCTTTCTTTTCAACTCGAATTTGCTTATTTACCAAATCTTCATCACTCTCCTTGAAAGCAATGAGTTTAACTTCATCGTTTGTCATGTGAAAAGCCGATTTTCCGCAATCGTTTAATTCTTGGCTTTTACCAATTTCCGCTGTTTCCTTTTGAAATTTTTCATTAGAAACAAATCCGTAATGAAGTTCAGGATTAGTCCACATGTTCTTTTGACCGAGCAAACCAAAAAATATTCCTTGCAAGGACCATATACGAACCGACATGTCTGATGCTGTTGATATGATTGAGTGCATTGAATCGATTTCGATAAGCTGGTGGGAGGACACAAGAACAAATTATTGAGCATTTTTGCAATAAAATTTTGAGTGTGGAAGAAGTGTTAACATCAAAAATTATAATTAGAGCAATTGCTACAAACTTGTTTTCCTACCTTCGCGGCGTGATAGCGTAATGGTTAAAAGCGCCTGGTCCTGCTGTTGCAGTGAGTGGGTTCGAAAGAAAAAAGATTCCCGCTTTTCAAATGCACTGAATATGATGCCTGGTTTTCATACCCATTGATATACGCTGTGTGTGTTTGTCGTTGAAACCTCTGATGCAGTTGCACAAGAGAGGTTGACCTTTAACGATTAACCATTTAACTTATCGAATTGAAAATGCAAAAAATGAAAATCAGACCTTCAAACTGACAACACCGCCAACGTGACTCTTGAAACTGTTGATAAGGTGAGGAGATTGCACTGGGTAGCCGTTCAGTTCATGACACTTCACTTTCATGTGCATCGGCAGTAGGACATCAGTTTGACTCAACCGTTTGTACATTTCAATGTTTTTGCGCATACGAACAAACGAAAACGTCTGCCAGATCGGAAGTCTCATCGAGTCTATAACGTCACAACATTCTCCCTCTTCAGGATTGTGATAGTGGGAAATGTCCCAAACTTTTATGTAACCTAAGGAGTCTCCCGTAACTAGGAATGCGTCATCCGATGTCACATCAGCAGCATGTAGAAGTTCGTTCTCCTTGTATGCTGCCATGAATTCCCCGAGGCACTTTCCGTAAAGATCCATGGGCCAGCTAAGTACTCTGCCATCATGCATACAAGTTAGTAGAACGGCCGTTCGCGGAGTAATTTTACGTTTGGTTAGATAGACGAGGGCCTCTACACAGAAATCGTAATGTATATTTGAGTTGGTCACTACTTGATTTTTTAAAACTGTGGCTTCATTGCCTCTGTTTCGAAAAAAATTAACAAAAAAATAAAATCGCTTAAATCGACAATAAAATTAAAAATACTTAGATTTTTACGATTGTTACAAAAAATGGAATATACATTTCTCGAATTATTTTGTTACAAAACAAAACCTGGACGAGCTGGCAAACAATTTCATAAGTTTTTTTGATTTCACGGTGTGTTTTTCATTTAGCCATCCTCCTTCACTCTGAATCGTTGGTTCATTCGTCATGTATTTGTAAAAATCAACCGATGCAATCATGTCCAAGTTTGCAAGATTAAATTTAAATTGAGGCAAACTCGTCTTCAAACTGTAAACCATCAAGGTTCCATCCGCAGAAGCAGATGCTAAATATGTTTCTGGCATGACAGCCATCTGAGTGATGTAACTGGGATGTGCCGGTTTCAGAGCAATGTATCCTTCGGGTGGTACAGTGTTTTCGATATGCAAAAAAACCGAATCGTTACAACCGGCCACGAATATTTTTCCAAACGGACAACAAAGAGCTGTAACTTCAAATCGAGTTGGTACGGGTATTTCCTGCAAGAGCACGGCGATATTGTAATTCCAAATTTTAACCATTCCATCGCTGTGGCCAGTCACCAGCCTTCTGTACGTAGCATCAAACGACATCACTTTTATCTCAATTTCCACCTTCCGACCTTTCAGTCGAACCGTGTGCGCCGTGAAATGAACAATTTTTTCACCACCAAACGCATTCCACACAATCACCTGGCTCTTCCAATCACCCGTCACAATCTTTTTGAGTATACAAATTTGAATAAATTATAACATTAAGACGTGACACTAATGGTTACAATAACATCGTCAAATAAACATAAAAATATTGTAGCGAAACGCAAGTTTAGCATATAATTGTTTCATATTTCAAACAACAAAATAAAACCTGTTTAAAAAGCGGGTTATAAAGAGCCGTTGTGATAGGTGCTGTGAGAGTAGAAAGAGCGTGTCTACCTAAAATTTCTTCCTTTCCTTCAATCACCCCTAATCTCATGTTGCTGGCTAGAACCACAGTGTGTGACTTTTTATTAATACACGCAGCCGTAATGGGTTTCTTACCGAGAGCTTTGAAGCTCTGCTGTTTGATGGACTGTATGCAAGCTTGATCGCTCATGTCAAAAACTAAAATGTCCTTGCATTCGCTGATGGTCACAAGGAAGGCATCTCGATGGTCCAACATTATATGAGTCACTGGACCTACATGACCCCGAAACACGCCAACTAGCTTCTGATTTTTCGCCATTGGGTTCCATAATCTTAATTTTATTAAAAATTTGATTCTATAAAAATAAAGTTTTGTGAAACCACTGAAAAATTCTTTAAATGGTTAATAAAAAATAAAAATAAAACAATTAATGTGACTTGTTTTGACATGAGCTAGAGCTGAACCTCCATTTTTTAATCATTTTTATCATTAAAGATAAAAATCTTAAAATTTAATTTATCACCTTATTAGCATGTCGTAACCACCGGTTATGATAAAATTCATTTTCTCGCTGTATTCAAAAACGGTGACACCATGCAGAACGCTGTAGTAGATTCGATTCTTGAAAGGTACATTGGGCACTAGATCACCAATAAATAAGGCTGTACATGTTTCTTTGGAGCAGGACAACCAACTCCGCAATTTGGCGACGTATCTAACTTGACAGACGTATCTCTTGTGTATTTCGGCAATGTACCTTATTAATGGGACAATAATTCTATTTATAAATCAAATTAAGAACATGTCTACCGTACACACGACAATCTATGATGATGGGTTTTTACGGTTACAATGTCATTTTCCAAAACGTGATAAAATTACAAATAACAATTTTTGCTAATTTTATTACTTTATATCTCTTATTTTTTTCAAAATCATGTTGAAATACTCATAAAAAGCTCTTCAAAGATACCTTGCTTCCAAACCGAGCACGTGGTTATTAGAGAGATCCGTAAAATGGAACTGGTGAAATTGATTCTTTTTGTTGATACTGTGCTTGGGACTTATTCCGATTGCTGTTCTCGCAGGGTTGACGTGGAATGCAATCACGCCCACCCCTCCGTACTCGTCTCCCCACGTTAAAAAAGACGCGTTGTTAGGTTGGTCGTCCTTGTAGTACGATAAGCATGTGATCGTTCCAGGAAACTTTTCGATTTTTGTCGTCATCTCAAACTCTTTGTTGTTTCCATAGCGGAAGAGAAAAAGACTAAAGTTAGTCGTCGCTATGGCAATAAGCTTAGCTTCTGGAATAACTTCTGCCGACGTTACCCAATAACTCAGAGTTGTTCCTTTGGCAATGTATGAATGTAGGATGAAGGTGTCGCTTGTTTGAAAGTTGGAGCTCCAAAAATTTATCACACCATCTCGACTGCACGTGAAATATCGGCAATCTAAAAAAAAAATCAATAATTATTTGCGGTTTCTAAGACTGGTTCACGCGGTTGAATCAACAGCAAATCAACAAACAAACAAAATAATTAACAACATGACAACTTATTAATCACCAGCATCTTTAGCACCGAGTAGACCTTTAGGGTCGGAACTTTCAAAATCACCAAATGGGAGAATTAACAAGGCCTAATTGATGTTAATTTTTGTGTTTTTAAGATAAATAACCAATTAAAACCCTAACAGTTTACTAACACAACAAGTGTCAATATTTTAAACTATAGATTTCTTTTGTAATCATTTATAACAATTAAATAACTTCTTTTGCTTAGTATCTTCATACACGCCAAAGCAAAAAGTTTATCAGAAGCAATTTTTTATTCAACTATCTTACAACTGGCAGATGGAATAATATTACGCGCATGTTTCGCTTCATACAAAAGAAGAGAAATTAAATCGGCCGGATATGCATTGGAACTAAGTAAGCGCACGCGTGAAAGGGCACTTCTATACGATAAGCTATCCTGCTAATTGGTTAATGTACTGAATAACTTTGATTGAATCTCGGCCTTCTGTTTTGAAGATCTGTATGTTGTTTCCCAGAAGTTCTTTTTCTAGAGTGAGTAATTTTTCTTTCATGTCCATTTCAAGCAGTAAATAATTTGAATATTCTTTCCAAGTAACTACATTGTTTTTCATCACGTCGACCTTCATTCATTTGAAAGAAAACGTGTCAACCAAAATATAAAGTAATTGTTAACTTAGAATATCAAAAAAAAAGTTAAAACAGTAATGTAATAATTTATAATTAGCAGAGTTAATATATTTTGACTTTGTCATATTTGTAATATTTAAAAGTAATATTGCTAAATAAACCAACAAACGATTACTTTATAAAATAATTCCTCTAACTCGGCTTCATTCAACTGCCTACCAATGCATTTGGTCATAGCACTTTTGAACAGTTCAATGGACAGACCCTCCGTTTTTTCGGTTATGGCATTAAGAAATTCTTCTCTTAATAGCGACAAACTTTCTTTAGTGAGCAATTGGTGAATTTTCAGGTTGGTCCTTCTGCTCAACGTCTCATTGGAACTTTCTAATCCTGAATCAAATAATTACGCAAAACAAATGCTAGCAGGTTATCGATTGAAATTGCTCTAGACTAGACAGAGTAGAGTGTGGAACAGTTGTTAATAATAATTAAATGTTATTGCATAATCAGTGTTTGATAAAAATTGCAATGATAACCAAATCGTAGGTTGAATCGCAAAGCAGTGTCGATAAGTTTTTGTAGCGTTTTGTCGTCGTCTGTCTTCGTGACATCTGTTATTGCGGAAAGTGTGTTCAATTTCGTCTGAACACTTTTTAAATACACCTCCATGCTTTCAATGGTAATTATCGCTTGGAAATAATAACAACGATTCAAGTTTTTTTTATTAGAATGATTTTAATGTGTTATTCAAAATCCTTTCAAACACCCGTTCAATTGTTCAGAACTTAAAGTCTTAAAACGGTTTAAAACACCTTCAATGTTTACAATAATGTTTAAAAGTAGATTTTGACGTCATAATACGAGTTCATTTTTTATACTCAACTACGCAATCTATAAAATCGAGGAATTTTATATTGACATTGAACTGTCGTACTCCTCTCTTTGTGAGCTTCATTGGAAACGAGGTCATCATCACTGACGTCGCCCATGCATTGTAATTTAGGCAAGGGACGTCAACAGCTAGAACAAAAATTTTATGACGCTTCTTGGTCGTCAACGCCCTGGTCATGCACAACATTTCAATTCATACGTTCAATTCATCAGAACGTTGTGGTATGATGCGTTTGTTTTTTCATTTGAAATGCCAAAAAAATAAATATACAACATTTTAGTTCATTTTTTAACGATAAAATTTCAAAAATAAATCTACAGTTAAAACTTAAAATAAATAGGCACAAATATCGATCAAAATTTGTTCTAAGGTAATTGTGTCGCTTCATTAATTTTATTTAGAAGATATTTGAAAATCTCAGATGTACCAAAAGTTAATTAAATTTTGAAAACAATTTGATGTATTTAAAAATCAATATAAAAAAGGAAATTGAAAAAAATAAGCACGGATTATTTGAATGATGCATTTATAATGGCATTTTCATGTTCGCTATCGCTTGTAAAGTGCAGTCCCAGGCTTTACCGGCCTCGCCATTTTAACCTCGGGTGTTGCAGAACTATTATTATTGTTGTTGTTGTTCGTGTTTTTTGATGTTGAATTCGAATTCATAAATTTTTTAAAGAGACTTTTGGTTCTAGATGGTGATGAGGTAGTTAATTTTTGGGGAGGTGCTGTTTTAGATGCTTTCTTCTCCGATGAATTACTTGAATCTGTTGATTTTGAGTCTTCATAAAATTGAGAGAAATTTTGTGAATTTGATGAACATTTTTGGGCAGATTCAGCCGCACTACAGCAATTAAGAGCCGAAATCTCACATTTGGACGGTAAAATCGAGGTAGTTCTTATTGGCGGTTCTGGCGGAATTTCAATGTTTTGATTTGCAAGAGCCCTCTTTTTATTAGTATTAAAAACGTTTGCTGGAAGAGTAGTTCTGCATGGCGAGCCTCTTACGAACGTTTCAGAACACATTTTTGAGTTTACTGAAATGTTTGGATTTTTAGAATGGCCACCTGCTTTTGATGACTTGGATGTTGGCTGGTTGTTGTGTAGAACGTTTGTGTGCGGCGTTATGCTTCCTGTGGTTGAAACGTTGACTGGTCTTTTTGGCTGGGAAAGCCTGGCAGACAGTTCACCAATATCTACCAATGGTTTACTTTTTCGATTGTCAGAAGAATTATCGCACGTGCTGGTTCGCCTTGCTCGATGTTGGAATATTAATTTGGTGTTTGGTTCTTCTTCAACAACGGTCTGATTTAGCATTTTTGTAGGGTGTCGTTGATTGATATCGTTAATTTGTGGCTGTTCTTCTTTTAATAAGACAGATTGACAACTGGACGCGTCGAAATGAAATCCTGAACCAGATGATTTCAACGTGGAGGTGCTTGATTTATTTGGAGTGCTAACTTCACGAAGACTAGAAAAATTTTCGTTTTTTGCGTCGTTGCACAGATCGTTATTAGTTTCAGTTAATTGGACCGAAACAACGCTTGTTGCACCTCTCATAATGGTATTGTCAATTGTCTGTGACATTTTCATTTCATTTTCTTTCATTAGATTCTCCATGCTGTGAGCGTATGGAAAGCCATCGTCAGTTGCGCATTTATTTGTACCTGCAGTTTTATTTCGACCTGAAATATTAGCTTGATCACAAGACGGTGAGGCTCGACTCGTATCATCACAATTAACAGAATTCCTCATCGATTCAAAGCCCTCGTCAGTACCACTACTAAAAGATCCATTCTCTAACATTGACTTGTAATCTTTATTCAGCAAATGTTGCTTTGTTGGCGCTATGGATGTGCTACAAACGCCTGAACCAATGCTCATATCAGTTGATTTTCTAAGCTCAACATTTTGGCCATTTTTGCTGTATGCAGATTTCAAAGTTACATCTAAAATATTTTGTTCACAATCGGAAGCTATCATGACGTTGCTATACATTGACATGGGGAGATTGTTGTTTTCCCTGTACAGAGTTATTTTTTGCTTTAAGGGATCACAGCCGGAGTTTTCATCAATTTGAGTATTTTTGTTCCAATCAGTTGAAACGTGCTTCAGGAAAGCTTTTTGAGTCAAAGAGACATTTCCATTAAAATCTTTTTTGATGCTATCATCAACTAGTTTACTGAACAGAGAATCGATATTTTTAATTGTTTCGGCTGGTTGGGAAAATTGTTTCTTTGTAACTTCTAATCTTTTATCAGCAATGTGTTCGTGCAAGGATGTTCTATCAAAATAGTTGCTGGATGTTCTGTTGATTATATAAATTTTATTATTTTTAATATTCTAAAAAACAATCTTTAACTAAGTAAAATTGTGTTACAAACCTCGGTTCAATCATAGACCTACGATGACAATCATTTTTGTCCAAAAATGTGTCTTTATCAAAACTTGGAGTACTGCGTTCCCTGCTAAAAATGACGCCTGAATTATCAACTGGAGTTTTTTGTTTTCGCATCTTTACTTGATTATCTTGAAAACCAGTGTTTGATAAAAATTCAAGCAAATCTTTCGAGTTTCCTATTTCTGGAGATTGCCTAGTTTTTCGAAGTTTATTTCCAGTTTGATTTGAAGAGATGAGAGTTGTTGGTCTGTTAATGTTAACTTCTTCTGCATGAATAGTTGATCTTCTGTTCAAACTTTCTAAATTAGGACAAGTTTGTGAGTCATTAAGCTTTGAACTGTCTTGATGTCCTGAAAAGCGCCGATTTTTAAATAAACTTGTCTGTTCATCTGAATGGGAAAAATTTAATTGTTATTGGATAGCTAGGGACATCAATATGCTGTTGCGAGTAATAATTAAGCGGTGAGCAATTATTTACCTAAAGAATTTTGTTTCTGAAGCGGAAGAAAAATTTTTCTTGCTGAATTTTCCTTTAAAAAAGGTTCATAATTCAATTTCAGGGTCAACTTTTTGATTAACAAATAAAATTGTTTAACATGAAAATTTAGTTTGGTTCGCCAACCTGAAATGCTTTCTCAAATTTAAGTACAAATGCGCCAATACTTTCAATACATTCATCCATTTTGAATGATTTTTCATCCTCGCAAAAATATTCGGCTAATTCGTTTTTAACTCGTTCAAGCTCTGCAATATTTTCTTTCAGGGCTGTTAACTCCTCAGTTGCCGTCTGAAAAACATTAAACAATAGTTAACATAAAATAAATATCATTAACGAGTTCTTAAAAATTGATAATTTATTACTTACTTCCACAAACGTTTCCATTTTTTCGGCAAAATCAGGAAATAAAAAATCTTTATTTTTCTTGACCGTTTCAACTTTCGAGTTTAGCGAAGATGCATCGCTAAGCACAGACTCGATGGAATACCTAAATTACAAAACTTAAGACAAATTTTTTGCACACTTAATACATTTTAAATTAAAATTTATTAAAATTTAATATAATTGTTGAACGGACTGTGCAACTTCTCTGATCCAGCTCAACTGGTTGGGCAGTTTACTCACCTCTCTATTGCATTCGATGGATTTCTGCATTTATAAAAATTTAGTTTAAAAGCGTTGAAAGTTGACTAAAATTTTAAAAAATAATAACAAGAATTTATCCATTGGAAATAATTGAAACAAAATGAAAAATTTCAAAACACCTTTGCGATGTAATTGATGAGGCTGATACCTGGCAGATTAGATTTGACATCCAACAACTTTGATAGGGACGATAATCTGAATGCCACTGTATCGCCTGCTGATACGCCCTTCCGAAATATTTTTTTCAAATTGATTCAGACCGATTGCTAATTTTACTATTAAATTTCGTTACAGACGTGAGGTCGAAAAAAGGACTAATAGTTAGAAATTGTTAAGCATGCACTGAAGAAGGAACAGTTTGTAAATTAATTAAAAGGTTAGAAATTAATTAAAGGGTTGTAAATTCATTTATGGACGTGACACTTTTATTTGGCACATCTACAAGCACATCGGTATCTATGTAAAGAGAAGAAGTCCCAGAAGACGACAACGAAGAAGAAGAACGAGAATAAAGAAGAGGTCAGAGGAAGTTTCGAGCAGAAAAATAGTCCTATCACTAAAAAGTTTTGTGTGCGAACTGCAAGCAAATTAGCGATAACGTCCGAGGAAAAGTTTATCACGGAGAACTACACGCAGTCTGCAAGTGAATTACGATAATCTTCCGAGGAGCGAATACTGAGGATTTACGGCCAAGAAACATCTGACGAGAGAAGCTTAATTTTTTGACGATTGGTTTTATTCTGTGATTTACCTGTTGATTAGTTATTGTGCTGCATTCTAACGATTTTAACGATTGAATTACAGCAATACACACAAGTGATTGCCAGCACTGTCTTTTTTCTGATTAAGTTCATCTGAAATAAGACTGTTCAGGAGTCAAGAATCTACGTAGAGAAATAACTGTACCCTACAAGTTCAAGGGGTTGGTTACAACAATATCAACAATGCTAAATAAAAGAATGGAAACTATACAAACTCTGTTTAGGAAATTCCCGATGATCAAGACAATTTTGAATACTTCGCGAAGTAAAACATTTCCTATAATGTCTGATGAAAAATTATTTTTAGCCTAGTAGTGTCAAAATTGCAAAATGATAAAAATTTTGATGATAAATTTCTACCTACCTTTTGCAGCCTGGATCATGCTTGCCACCGTGTACTTCAGAGTGTCAACTGTTTGACTGAATTCTTCAGTAACCACCAACGTTTCCACACTTTTGCCAAATCTGGAAATATAATTTAAAAATAAAAATTTGATAAAATTAAATTAGCAAAAACTTGAAAGAGAATACCTTGGATAACGAATCAACTCGTGAAAAAACTGTTCGGCTCTCCCTAATTCATTCGGATCGCCCTGATAGTTTTTTATTATCTCTAATTCTTCCTGCTCTGGTAAAATTTTAAACAAATTTTTAAGTCTTTCTACTGTCATGCTGCCGCAACTTCCCTGAGATATTTGCTCGATGAATTCTTTGTGCGGGATGCGAATTTGATGGAGGAATATGTTCACGTTTAAACTTCGTTTGCTGTCTAATAGAATTACCTGTATTAGTTGGAAATGACTTTCAATTTGGGAACAAATTTAACAATTGAACGCAACAGCCAAACACGGCACTTGCTTTCACCAATAAACAATAAAAACAAAACTGTTAACTATTTTATGTCTCTGCAGTGAGACTGCATATGAATCTAAGTAAACATTGTAAATGTGTTTAATTTGGGAATAAAAATAAACTGGTAAGCGTGTCAAGCTGCAAATCTGTCATCAGCTGTGCTGATTAAAATAGCATTCGTAACATTTATGAATTAATTTCCTTACCTACTAAATACACTAATGCATTGTGCAAACTGATACACACTTGTATTTTGTATTGTCAAATTCATAAATTGCATGAGTTCAACAGCATACCAACGAACAGACAGCGCGTGAAATAACACGCATTCAAATTCACTTATTACTCAAGGTCCCACTGTACAAAAAGAGGTCTCTCAGTTCATTCAACATCTGCAGTACTAACAAACATGCACTCAATGAAAACATTGAAACTATGAAAAAGTAAATATTTTACAAAGTAAAATTATTATTTTATAAAAATAAGTAAAAATTTTAATGTTCAAAGGGAATATTAAAAAATTTAAATGCAACGAACCTCATCGGTTTTTTTCTTGGAAGGTCTGCATCTTCCATCGCCAGCATCCAGGCCGGCACCGCAGTTGGAATCTTTTTTACCGAACATCGATTCGATTTCCAAAAAGTTGAAGTTTTTATAGCAGGGCACCGATTTTTCTTCACTGGGGTTGAAGTGGCTGATAGCGGTGAGTTCGTTGGCGTCAAGCGAATCCACTGCATCCCGACCATCCGCCATCAAGTTTTTCAGCACGTCCGTCCAAATATTCTTCTTGCCGATGATTGTGTTTGCGGGTATCTTGGACCACTGTAAACGCTTCATTGCAGTTGTGGGAACCGGCATTTTTCTTTTAAACAGATCTACGTATGAGGTCATTTCTGCATTTTTCCTGCTCACATCCAGCTCCTGCTGTGTAAACTGACCGTTGAAAGGGGTCAGTGGTTGCCTTCTTCTACTGCACGGAGACTGAGATGAGAAATTCAATTCTTCTGAGATTTGTAAATATGAGGTTAGTGGCGGCGGCGGCGGTGGAGGTGGAGGTGGTGGAAGAGGAGGAGGTGGTGGTGGTGGAGGTGAGGATGGTGATTTTAAAAAAGCCTCTTTTGTGTTTGAAACTGCTTGTTTAACTTTTTCTTTAAAAGAATATGGAGAATCATTCAAAGAACTATGACACAAGCAAGCGCAGTCAGAATTTTGACAATACTCCGAGACGAACCATTTGTTGCCAGTACCATTCAAAAACTTTTTAGAGCTTTCTCTTTCAAAATCTTTCATCTCATCATCTAGTAACTTTTCAGAACCTTTTTTAGAGTGATTTTCGATCGTAGTCGACAAGCCGATGATTCTTGATATATAATCCCAGGCCAGTTCGGAAGTAGGCTTGCTTGGATCTAAAAAATGCATACCCTGCAGGCAGAGTAGGAAAGTTGTTTCGTAAGGCGTGTCCTCGATCTACGTATAGAAATTGTTTGGTAAAATTAATTGTCTACGCGATATTAAATCTGATTTTAATTCCATTCACAACGCCTCGTCATTGAAACGTTCTTCTAGAGTGAAACGCACGAAGCCTGTAAGATTTGTAATTGTTCAGAAGTTAATTTTTGAGCCAACTACCTGCTCCATAATGGCGCAGAAGAGATCGACGTGTGTCATCTGACCATCATTGTTCCGTTCATCGTCATCTCTGGATTTTCGTTCAAAGTGTTCTATCTGAGCCGACAGTTCAGCGTTTTTGTTCAGGCGGCTGGTCTCTCTGAAGACGTAGAGATTCAAGAAAAACGACATTAGAGTAGAGAAACAAAATGCGTAATTTAAAATGCGCCGAGTTTAGCTGCATTTGATTTCTGATGAAAACTAAAATTGTCGTTAGGTGGTTTTTTTAAAAAGACATTGACCGAACAAATACTGTCAGAAAAAAAAACTTGAAGTAAAAAAAAATAGAAAGTGGAGAAGGGGGAAAAGGAAAGAGAGATAGAGAGAAAATAGAGAGGAAGTTAAAAGGGAGAAAGGTGAAGGAACAAAAGTAAAAAAATGTAATCTCAAGTGTTGTTGTGCATAGGTCAATTTTGATATGAAGATAAAATAGATCTTTCAATAAATAAATATATATATATATATATATATATATATATATATATATATATATATACTTCTTATGTTACTTAATCCTAGCATTACGAGTGTTAGCAATGATAGTGCACATCACATATCACAATATTGAAATAATAATAATGTGGTTGAAAATATATCTTAACTACTTACAAACATCACTCGGCAAAATAGTGTAACAGTTCCCATTAGATGTACATATAAATTTATAATTATTCACATTAAATGTTACTCATTACAATCAACTATGTAGTTAGCAAGTATGTAAACATCAGATAATAAATCAATGGTAGTAATAGAAGTATAGGTAGTAAAGTTAACAATAGTAACAAACAGCTCTAGTATTAGTAGGGGGTCAATGTTGTATTTATGAGTAACGTAACAATAGAGCATTATATTAATTTAATATTATTATTTATTTAATATTATAGATGTAATATTATATTAATATAAAGTTAACAATAATGATGACGACGACAACGATGATGATGGTGATGATACAGCGGCACTAATAACATTATCATAATCATTCAACTGGTGAAAGAATTCAAAAATTCAAATTCGAACGTTCGATCAATCGAATTGCATGACTTTGGCGGCAAATCAGTCAGACGAACAAGTAGTTCTTTTTTAATTATCATCCTCGCGATCATATTTTGCGAACTTTGATGCATTTGTTTACCAACACCAACAAGCCAACTTCTTCATCACCGTACAACAACATCGTCATCGTCAATACCATTAACATTGACATCAACATTACCATTGATAACATCACCATGACATCAAGATTACCATAAATAACATGATCGTGACATCAACAATAACAATGTTGAAAGACAATGAATTGAACAAAAATGAATGCATACCTTATTAATGTAAAGATCTCGTACGTCTTTAGGCCTGGACGAAAATGTGTTGTTGTGTAACGTTTGATACATCTATACGCACAATCACATTAATATATATTTACATATACATTTTTATTTTTCTACTTTTATATGTATTAAATAAAAATGTATATATTAAACACCACACGTACACACACGCACACGTACACACACATACACACACACACACACATACTATTTCACAAAATATGACGTTTTTACTATTAAATAAAATTCCTTGAATTCATATCGCCATAGGGCCACTGTCAACATTAAATCGATCAGTAAATTTTTTTCTAATGCTTTTAAAAAAAGCTGAAATTAAAATTTAATTATTGCAACATGTGTTCGGGATATATGATTCATTATTTTGATTTAAAATGTAAATTATTACTTAACTGTGAGAATATGCGGGCATGTATGTGCACGTACCAGTGTGTATTCACGATTTTGTATAATAGGTACTCTACAGTTGATATTTGCGTTTGTACTTGCAGGTATTTATTAAGAATGCGTTGTCAAGTGTGTTTTACTAGAAACGTTATTACTACCTATAGCAACTTTATACATTCACGTATATGTATTATACATGATCATACGGACGGTACTGTGAGTCGTTGCAGAAGACATATAGAAGGCAATGAAGAAGAAAATTTTATTTAAGTATCTGTGTGTTTGTATGTGTAATGAGTGTTAACTATACAAACATTATAATTTATTTATTTATTTACTCTAGTATGCGTGTTTATGTGTTTAACAACCAAATGTGATTTTTGCAATATTGGAGGACAATAACTGTAGATCAAGAGATCTACAGCTATCTTAAATAGGATCATTTGAGATTAGATCGTTTAAAAAGGCAAAGGTTAGTTTAAAATATGTTGGACCAATTATGTTATAATTTTAACGCTGGCTGCCAAATAAATTGGCTCGATGTTGTCGAGGTTCCTGAGTTTAGCACCATTTGTCAAAGTGATGCGGTCCCTTAATGAACCTATTAGACGAGGTGATCACTAGTGCTAATGTGTTTGTGTGTGTTTGCTTGTTAAGTTTGCGTATCTCTTTTTGTGTTCATGTAAATTTTAATATGCTTGTATGCGTGTGTACGTACCTTTATTTCGCAAGCCAGGTTAAATAAAATATTTTTTAACGAAAATGACGATGTTAAGTAAAGTAACGCAAATGTTGTTCGTGCTGATGTTTGTGTGGCTGTTATTGAGGTTGCTATGTGTTTTTTGTGGTGGTTGTTATACTTGGTCATTTTCATGTGGTTGGGGTGTCTTGTTTGTTAGCTTGTTTGTGTGTTTGTTTGTGTGTTTGTTTGTTTGTTTGTGGTTGACATGCTAACCGATGAACTCATTTCTGACAATGATTCTTTCCATGGGATTGGGACATTTGTCAATCAACGCGTTAACCAGGCAGAGCAAAGATTCTAAATAACTAGTGACGTCATTGTCGTGGTTGATGCCATTTTGACTGCCGTTGATGTTGTTGCTGATGACGTTGTTGTTGCTGCTGATATATTTCAATTCATCGACCAGCCATTCAAATCGATGTCTTGAATTGAGTAACACCTTTGAAATGTTTATTTTATTTCAAGATAGATTGAAGGACCCGTAATATAATTCATCCACTTCATCTACACACACACACACATATCCTTACACATACACGCACACACACACACAATTGCATACAAATACAAACAGACCTATCACACACACACACACTCATATAATACGTATAAAATAAAATTATTACTACTAATCCATTATCAAACACAATTCAAATGTCATATACATAATGTGTAGTTCGCTTGAATTCATTTGCTGCTGACTGGTGCAAATGTTTTAATGTTAAAAATGACCTTGATCAACAAACATCATACAAATCGAGGAGAATTCACAAACAACAGAATTATGTTGATAATTAATTATTTAATTTAGTTATTACAAACATATTTCTATGACAAAATATTTTATAATTAGGCTTTTACTAAAATTATACTAATTAATATATCAATAATACATAGTGTAGCAGTTTACAATCGTCTACAAAATGGGCATGGATTGAATTTATACACCACACGGAGACACTCATGGAGATATGCGTGCAGAAAAAATGGGCAAAATCCGAATTATGAAGACTCTTTTCATTTTGTTTATTCAAAATTTTAATTTGCATTCTTCTTTATTTACATATTCTGTATACATACAATAAATTTCCGTCAAGGTTTTTGAGAATGAAATCTTCAAAACTCTTTCCAAATTGCTTCTCATTTCATGTATAAGTGGAATTTAATTGAAACTTACGTCCTAACAAAAATTGTCATCTATCTTTTGTATATAGTTTATATTGGTTTCAGTAACAATAATAAAAAGAAATCCTTAATCAATCTAGCACTATCATATCATATTTCATATCCCATATAACACTAGGTATCTAGGTTTGGTCTTGTTGTATCAAATGAGTATCATTATTTTCCTTCATAATTTTTGACGTACGCTACTTAGAAGTTGTTCTTCTCTTGGCTGGGTTAGTGGTCTGTTAAGGTCTTCTGGTCAGATTTGTCAATAAATAAATAAATAAATAATAAATAAATAAACAAATAAATAAATAAATTTGGCTCTGTTTTGTTTATACAAATCTATAGAGGACTAGTTAGAATTACTTATCAAACTTGAAAGTTCCCGTTACAACTAGTGTTATTTCATTCATATAAAATGCTTGTTTTCGTGTCATAAATTATTTATGTTGTAAATTGTTTATATTGCGAGTTAATATTCGCGCACAAAACACATAGCTAACAACGTAGATGCAATATACACATACGCACACACACACACACACACACACACACACACACACACACGAAGACACATGCACATTAGATAATGTAACGCAGAAAGTTTCATGTATATTTACATAAACCATACAAATAAACATAACCGCAGACACACACATACACAGACACACACATACGTGAACACACACTCATACGCAGACACACACATACGCAGACACACACATACGCAGACACACACATAAGCAGACATACACATACGCAGACACACACATACGCAGACACAAACACTTACGCCGGCATGCACATACGCAGACACACACAAACGCAGACAAACACATACTCAGACAGCGGGATCACATACTAAGGCGAAACGCAATGTTTGTTCCAATTTTTAAAAATTGTTCAGCGTTCGTGTTTTGGCCGTTGCAAATTATAACGCTGTAAATTGCCTTCACGAAGGCGTTTATGTTACGGTAATTGTTATAATGGTAACAAGATGATGATAATAATGATATCATATGATAATAATGATGACGACATCAACAATGTAAACAACATCATCAATTACAAAAGTCCATTGATAAAAAATCAAAAGAGCATCTCATTCCTGTGTAAACAAATTATTCTTCCAACTATGCATCTACGTTTGTGTGCGTGCATTCACTTAAAGAGCTGTTTTGTATGTGTTGGCGTGTTTCGTTCGTGTGCCAAACTGAAACTTTTACGCATATTTTGATGAAAATTGGTGATATTTGCTTTTGCAAGTAAAATAATTGCTCCACCACACCACGAGTTTGCGAATTTGTGCGCTTATGCGTTCATATTCTTGTGTGTGAGTTGTGTGTTTACATGTTTACAAATAGTTTATATCTGAAAATGTGTGTTCGTTTGTACGTTAGAATGTTGCTGGCTTAAAATTTATTTTTGTTCCATTATATACTTACTAGTTCATCTATTGAACGTGAAAACACTTCTAAACTGATGTATCTGTGTGCAAGTGTGCAAACATGCGTGCGCTACATAAGTACGTGTGTATTGCAAGTGTACATTTCTTTGTAAAATTGTGCACATATTTGTGTGTGTGTATTTGTATCCGTGTATGTGCAAAGTGCAGCACATGTATGTGTGCGTGTACCTGTACATATTCATGTTTACGCGTCTTACATAGTTAAGACCCCTTCATTCTTTTGACGTGACGTGTGAATATTTCAATGGGAAAATATTTTCCGGGACAATTGACTGAATATTTGCCGACAACATCGTTGTAATCATTTCAATCTTCCGAACAGTTTGCATCGTCACTGTAAGCGTTTTTTTTGCTTTGATATCTTCCTGCTGGTAGAACTTCCTTTCATACTTACTTAGTTTTTTTCTTTTCCTACAAGTCTATTGATTATTCTTTTAGCCAATTAGCGCTTGCAGAAAATTTTAATTATATTTTATTTGAATGTTCATTAAATTTGGTTCATCGGGTTAAAATTTTATTTAGTGACATGATAACACACGTAAGCATTCATATTCATCGGTAACGTAACGAAAGAAACATTTTGATTATCACCAATATTGATTACCTTGAGCTTATTTATGATTTTTGTGGCCGTTTTATAACTTTTACCGGAAATCCGGCAAAGTTCTGTAAGTGTGATAATGTGCTCCTTCCGTTCTGATATGTCGGTCTCTGTCAGGCTGTCACTGCTGAAAACTGGTAGGTAGGTGTGTGAGTTGGTACAATGGTGGATTGATTGTGGTTAGTTAGATGATTGAATGAATGGTTGATTAGTTTTTTGGATAGTTGATGAAATTGTTAGACAGTTGATTATCTCGTTACATGATTGAATGGTTAGTTGATTGGTTTGTTAGGTGATTGATTGGCTCGTTTTGGTTTTTGGCAGATTTAATTTGTTAGGATGATAAAACAGTTAGCAGACTCATTAGTTCATTTTGAATTTATAACATCCTAATAAAACATATCAAACTAAAAACGAAATAAAACCTAAAAGAAAACAGACTTTTTGCTAGTTTGAACGCGAAATCGTCGTGATCAAATTTCAGTATGTAATCCATATTGACGCCGCAATCGTTGTGACTCGATTTAAGATCCATCATTTCGGCTTGCATGATGTTAACAACATTACTAACGCATGCTTATAATATAATAGTCCAAGTATTAAAAGTATTTTATTTTTGGTAATAATTACAACACTGATAAATAATAATTAAATATAATTGCAAGTAGATTTTTGCCTCTAAGCGCTTTCAAAATAGACCATAACATAGCATAAACACTTTTTTTATAACCTTATAACAATTTCAAATTATATTTAAACGATCAAA